CCCCAGGGGGACACGCTAGGTCGAATGAATCCTTTATCTAGTAAGTCTTGCAGTTGCGCCTTGAGTTCTTTCAACTCAGCTGGTGCCATGTGATAGGGTGCTTTGGAAATAGGCCCAGTTCCCGGCTCGAGTTCGATGACGAAGTCGACCGCTCGGGAAGGGGGTATTCCAGGTAAGTCATCCGGAAATACATCCGGAAACTCGTTTACTATTGGCACGTTTACTAGGGTCTCTTCCTTTCCTCTCACGTCTACAGCACATGCTAATATAGCCCATCCACCTTGTTGCACTAACTTCTTTGCTTTCATCATCGAGACTACCCTGGGGGTAATCCCGGTATTTGTGCCTTTAAATTTAAAGGTAGGTCCTATCGGTGGTGAAAATTTTACTTCCTTTTGGTGACAGTCTATACTAGCTCGATTTTCAGCTAACCAATCCATGCCTAGTATGACGTCGAAATCTGTCATGTTTACCACCATCAGGTCAACGCTTAAAGTTTGGTTCCCTATGACTACTTGGCCATCCTTTACTCTATCCCTAGATACTAAGTCTACCCCCGCAGGGGTGCTTACAGACATTTCATGCAATAAGGGTTCTAATTCGAACCCTGCTTGTACAACAAAAGGCATGGAAATAAAGGAATGCGTGGAACCAGAATCAAATAAGGTAAAAGCAAAATGACCTAAAATGGATAGTGTACCTGTCACCACGACGTCGGACCTCCCAGTGTCCTTGCTGGTTGACGCGTATGCCCTAGCTTGAGCTCGCGGTGGTGCTGGTTGATCCGTTTGCTCTACTACTCTGAGCGGGTTTGCTTGTGCTGCAGCATTTCCGGCCGTGCAGTTCACGGCGATGTGCCCCTCTTGACCACATCTATAACACGCTCGGCTGCCAGCCATGCACCTCCCACCGTGTAGTCTTCCACAAATAGTGCACCCTTCCTCTCTCCTCCCTCTGGCCCCATCTTGATTCCTAGGGTTCCTGTCAGTATGTCGGGGTGGGCGTCGCTCATCCCATCTAGGAGCGGGTCTGTTATTGGAACGGTGCCTACGTGCTGGTGGTGGACGGTCAGAGCCTCCTGATTCATGAGGACGCTTCTGCCTAATTATAACTGGCTCTTCACGTCGTTTCTCATCCTTTGGTTTCTCTAAAGCCTTGGCAGTTCTCAAGGCTTCCTCATAGGTCTTTGGGTTGAACGCCTCCAACATGCGGCGGATTCTTGGTTCCAAACCCAATACAAATTTCTCTGTCATCTTTTCCTCAGTGTCCACCATGGACGGTGCAAATCTCTTGAGTTTATTAAACTCTCTATTGTACTTCTCCACTGTGAGTCCTCCCTGTACCAGGTGGGCAAACTCCTGCTGCCTTTTAAGTCGCTCTGACTTAGGATAATATTCTTTAAGGAAGGCCTCCTTAAATCGTTCCCAGTTCATTGGTCCCCCTTCTGGGTTAATGAGGGTTTTGTTATCTCTCCACCATATCTCTGCGTCCTTTTGTAGGACGAAGGTTGCACAGGCGACCTTTTGGTTCTCTGGGCACTCCATAGTCTCAAAGGTGGTTTCCACCGCTGCAATCCACATTTGGGCTTCTATGGGGTCTACCAGGGAACCAGTGAATGGTCGAGGGTCGTATCTCTTGAAATCCCTTATCCAGTTTGAACATCTAACAGGTGGTGGAGGGTTTACTGGGGCATTGGCCTGAGCAGTGGCCTGTGCCTATGCCTGTGCCTGTGCCTGTGCCTGTGCCTGTACCTGTGCCTGTACTTGTGCCAGTGCCAACGCCTGTGCCTGGGCCTGTGCTTGGGCTTGTTCCTGGGCCTGTTGTAGACTGGCTTGCTGATTGGTTACCAAGGTTTGAATTAGGGCTTGGATGGAGTCACACATTAACCTAGTATTAGCATCTACTCCACCCACTGGGGGTGCAGCTTCAGGTGCGACTTGGAGTGGTGGGGTAGGCTGGGGTGGAGGTTCTACTTGTGGTGGAGGCTGTACTGGTGGTAAGACTGGGAGCGGCGTAACTGTTACCGGCCCAGTCTCTGATCTTTCTTGAGGTGGGCCCTCTACTGCCACACCTCGTCCTACTTCTCTACGACGGGGTCGCCCCCTTCCTCGTCTTCCTCTTCCTCTTCCTCTTCCTCTTCCTCGTCCTCCGGGCATGGTTCTACAAACCAATATAAGGTTGCTTAAGTCTAAGGCCTTAATACTATGCATATATATATATATATATATATATATATAACAATACGCACACTATACAAAACATCGTAACGCCAAAGAAGTAAACATTCATCATACTAAGCATCATATCATGCTATTAACAAAATTACTCAGCATAAAACACATGACGTCATACTCTTAAATAAATACGTGAAACATCACAACCATTTCAGTAATGTCAACATAAAAAAAAAATGCATCCGAGTTTTAAAACGTAACTCTTTTCTTATCTTACGCAAGGCGTACCTGACGGTGACGGGGCATCGACGTTGGGACCGTGGAGCGTGCCAAGCCTACATCGTAGGCTAGTCTACAGAATCTAAAACCTAGAGCTCTGATACCAACTGTAACGACCCTAAATTTCCACATATCTAAAGTCGCCACTAACGTCTCATGCTCATCTCTAATGCAGAATAAAAATCTAAGCATGCTCACCTTTATTAGCGGAAAAATTTAAAACTTCAGAATACATTAAAACATTGGAAAACACTGCCGGACTTACGTGTTTCAAACATCATGCTGGAGTTCAAAAGACAAAATAAAACGATTACAAATTAATTAATATAAATGAATGAAATGCAAACGCCCTATCCTAACCAAGACTAGGAATTTTAAATATGCAACTATCCTATGCATGCGCCACAGTCTCTGATCACGATGCCACCGTCAACCGTACATGGGAGCCTTGCCTTTACCTGAAAAACAATATGGCACACGGCCTGAGTATTTCTTCGAAATACTCAGTAAGTGACCCCACTATAGGGGCCATGCTAATGCAAACACATGCAATCATGAATAGGGACCTATCTCTAATCATCTTAGGGGTGGCCTCCAGTCTCGGACAAATTGGATGTGTAGTACTTCCCTACACACGACTCACACGTGCGAGTGTGAGTCCCCAGGGCGCTCGCACACCCCCTGGACCCTCTGGTCAAGCTAATCTGTAGCAACGTCCGGAGGTCAGCGGAACCCCATAGTGTCATGCGCCTCATGAACACCCTCATCTGTGTGCTTTCGCACCTGTGCGCATTCGCGCTCATCATAAGGTGCGCGTCCGCACTCATCATCTCTAGGGGAAGTAGCCCTATGCTTATGAACATACAAAATGCATGAGGTCCCTCTAAATCCATCGTAATGTCTCTTCTGACACAACCCTCTAGTCTCATCTCTTTGTTACCCTAGGTAACGCATACTCGTGGATATTTATATAAATATCATTTTCATGATCTTAGGGTTGTGTCCTACGTCGATCTAACGACATGATGCAATATGGCACTCATCATCATCTAGCATGCTCAATATGGAAAACATCATCATATTAAGGTAAAAATCATGCAATCATCAAGCTCATCATAATGCCACAACGTGCGTCAAACATATCAAGCGTCACCCAACAAAATATGTATATACTGCACATATCATCAAGCATCATAATCCACACATCATCATAACTCATACAATTATTTAGCCTATCCTATAGTAAGGCCACTTACATGGTTGGCCTCGGCCGAAGTACTCCCTAAATAGCTAAACGTAAGCTCCCGTTCCGTGAGAGCTGCTTCCTACTTCGCTGGAGTTTGTTTCCTATCACACCGTTCACCACTTTCCGTTAGTATTTCACAATTAATTTACCTAATTTAATAAATGTGAAATACGGCTCTAAAACGGCCTCAGATACCTTAATCGGGGCCGAAAACAGATCTGGGAGGGTCGAAACAGTGGAAACCGGGCTGAAAACAGGTGAGCCGAGCCGAACAGCCGCTGGAGCCGCCGGAGGAGCCGCCGGACCGTCACCGGAGGGAGCCTGAGCCGTTTGCGCCGAGCCGAGCCGAGGACTGCCGCGCCGCTGTGTGACACGTGGCAGCAGCAGAGAAAGCCACGTCGGGCGGTAGTGTCGGGTCGAAGCGCGGGTCGCAGTCCGGTTCGGGTCGTGGTTCGGGTCGCGGGCTGTGGAAGGCTACTGGGCCAAGGCTAAACGTTGGGCCTCGGCTTACTGGGCTGGGCCACGAGTGTTTGGTTTGCAGGCCGGCTCAATTGGACCGTGGGTCTAGTCTGGGTTGGTTCAACTGAACCGTAGCTTCTGGGCCGGTTTGAGGTTTGGGCCGCTGTAGTTGGGCTGGGCCGAAGGCAGAGGCCAAGGGGGGAAACGGGCTGGCTCTCCTGGGTTCTGGGTTCGGGTTGACCCGGATCCGTGGATCTCGTCTTCCTTACCCGACTTTGGCCGATTTTCCGGCGAGTTTTCTCTCTTCTTCCCGCGGCGTTTTCGTGGCCGATTTCGGTCCTCTTCCTTCTCTTTTCCTCTTTGTTCGTCGTCCTTCTTTCCTTTTTGGGAGTTTTGCGGCCTAAAAGCTCCTAAAAGCCATAGATCTAAGAATCGATTAAGAAACCTAACTTTCCGACCTCGGTTACCGACGACGACGCTTACGAACTAACACCAAATGCCCCTGAGTTATTGTGCTTTCGTTAGGGATCTCTCTTACGGTAGTAACAGGTTGTTTGGTGTCGGTTTAAGGGTGATTTGAGGGCTCGTCGGAGAAACTGAACACTCGCCGACGTTTGTCCGAAATCTCTCTCTCTCTCTCGAAATTTTTCTCTCTTTTCTCCCTTTGCAGGCGTTCTGAAGATGCTGGGCTAAGGGTGGGCGTGCTGTGGCCATCGTTTCGCGTGGGTTCCGCGAAACACGGCGGTCGCCGGAAAACTCGCGGGTTTTCCGGCGACTGGGTTTTTTTTTCTTTTCGTTTTCTCGTTTTCATTTATTTATTATATATATATATATATATATATATATATGTATGTATAATATTTTCTTTTTCTTTCTTTCTTTCCCGGGTCGTTACAGCATGTAATACAACTTGTAACCTTTGTGACCACAAGGATATCCTACGAAAATAAGGAATTGCCCGAGGTTCAAATTTTTGCTTAGGGTGTACTACAGTTGCATAACACTTACAACCAAAAACTTTAAGATGGTGAAATGTAGGTGGTCATTTGTAGAGTGCTTCAAAGGGTGTCTTGTTAGATAACAATGGTGATGGTGTTCTATTTATAAGATAAACAATAGTTAAAATGGTGTTCTATGTAGAGTGCTTAAAATGCACTCTACCTAACTTTAACTCAACCTGATATTTATTATGTAGTTGAGGTTATGAGTCGGTACATGCAAAGTCCAAAGAAGACTCATTTGGATGCAACTCGACAGATCTTGAGATATGTCAAAGGTACAATCGACTATGGTCTTTTGTACAAAAGAAGCAAAGACTACAAGCTAGTTGGATACTGTGATGCTGACTATGCAGGAGACCACGATACTCGGAAGTCAACCACTAGGTATGTGTTCAAGTTTGGTTTGGGAACAATTTCTTGGTGTAGCAAGAGACAACCAATAGTATCATTATCAACTATAGAAGCAAAGTATAGAGCAATGGCTGAAGTAGCTCAGGAAAGTACATGGTTGAAACTCTTGATGGAAGATTTGCACCAGAAAATTGAGTATCCAATATCACTTCATTGCGACAACCAATCTGCGATTCGCCTAGCAGAAAATTGCTAGAACAAAGCATGTGGAGGTGTAGTACCATTTCATTCGAGAGAAGGTCCTAAAGTAAGAAATCGAGATGTAGCAGATCAAGACAGATGACCAAGTGGACGACTTGATTACAAAAGAGTCGAATACAGGCAAACATGAGAGTTTTCTCTGTCAACTTAACATGGTGCGGCGATTGAGGACTAGTGCTGAGGGGGAGTATTAATATATCATCACTAGCCCAATAGAGTCCAGCTCAATAATTGTACCAGTCCATTGTATATTTATTTTAGTAGAGATTTTAGGAAATATAATAGATGTTTTAGGAAAGAGGTCTCGATATTTTAGGAAAAAGATTTACATTTGTTAGGTTTAGATTGCGTAGGGTATAGTATAAATACCCATAATCAACGATATACTACTAAGCAAATCATAAATGAAAAAATATTAACGAATTACGAATATCTAAGATATATTCCATAACTAATTATTATAATATATTCTCAAAATATTATATCTTAAGAAGTTCTTATCATGATATTTCCTAACGATCTTGATCCTTGGATTCTAAAACGTTGGTTATCTTTTAAGAGCTTTAGTACTATGGTTTTTGGTTCTTGGTTCTTGATCCATGTTCTTGTCCATGATCTTTCTCTCGTCCTTGGTACTTTCTAAGTTTTTGTTCGGTTCTTGGTTCTTTCTGCAACACTCTGTCCTGAAGATTTACGGTATTAGACATGAACTTGATATCCTGTGTCCAAGGCTTCATGCGTTCCAAGCGACACAGTCTTAACCCACATCTCCGGGCTTGCCCTTCGACAAGCTCTGAAAACCTATCTCCAAAGCTTCATGCATTTCAAGTAATATAGTCTGAAAACCTACATCCAAGGAAGGCTTCTTACGTAACAAACGATGTACTCTAATTTTGCATCAAGGGCTTGCCCTAGGATACCGTTTGAATACCTATGCCCAAGGCTTCATGCGTTCCAAGCAGCATAGTCTGAATACCTACGTTCAAAGCTACATGCGTTCCAAGAAGCGTAGTTTGAAATCCTGCACCCAACGTATTCTAAGCGGCTTCATGCGTTCCAAGAAGCATAGTCTGAATACCTACGCTCAAGGCTTCATGCGTTCCAAGAAGCGTAGTCTAACCGCAATAGTGGGGGTCACATACCGAGTATTTCTTTTAATACTCAAGTCATGTGCTACTACTATTTTAGGTAATGGTAAGGCACCTCTGTACCACTAACGACTACATAGCCATTCGAGACCATGAAACATGAAAAGGGTAGTTGAATTTAGTTTCTTAGAGTTAGATTAGAATAGAGTGTTTTTAATTATAATGTTAATTTATTTCATTTAATATTTTGTTGGGTCGTTTTAAAGATATTTTCGAACACGTAGCTCTATTGTAGTG